TGTGTGTGTGTGTGTGTGTGTGTGTGTGTGTGTATACACACACACACACACACACACACACACACACACACACACAAACATACAAACACAATAACATACACACGAAGAGCCAAGCAAAGAAACTCGACAGACAAGGCTCTATTCAAGCGTCTCTCTGGCTGTACGAAACACTACGCGACATGTATAATACAGAAGCAAATGCACGCAAGCAACCATTAATTAATCAGATCGATCGATAAAAGGTCATAGATAATCTCTGTGACAATTTCAACTCTTCTTTTCAATCACTATATTTTCGGATGTCGCAACGGGACCTAACTCCAGAGGGAAAATATAAAATATAGAAAATATGCGATGAAGCACAAACCTAAACCTGAGGCTGTCAGATTATCGAGCAATGCTGAAAATATGTTAAAGAAAAAAAATCTGAATTTAGTATTTATTTTTTTTCGGGTATGCATTTCAGTTCACGTTCAATTGTGTTTTGGTACATAGAATAAAAGTTTTTTTTTTTTTTTAAGAGTAATTTGCCGCTTATGATAAATAATTTATATGTTTATGAGAAATGATTGAACGACACTAAAAATGCTTCTGTTGAAATCTTTACATGGAGAAAGAGCAATATGAACTTTGTAAGACAGTGCCGGAGTACCAGAATTGTTTGATTGTGTGATACTTGTTCGAAAAAACACTACTGATGCTATCTTTTCGGCGTTTTAAAATGGCCGATTGTAATATTCTTGAATAACGGCATTATACATGGTAATTGCAATTAGAAACATAGCAAAGAAGATAATAGACAAATATGCATTATAATATACCATATTAAGGTAAGCTATGCCGAGTAGATAAACAAAAAGCAAAATTCCAAACAAATTCAAAATTCCCGCCTCGAGACGCCCATGACGTCACGTCCGGCAAGCGGAAAGAAGCATCTTCCATATTTCGCAAACTAGATTTTATTGAAAAGCCAAAAATATCCAAGATACTTCTTACCAAAAATCCTTTTTATTGAATCACATTTGGCATTGTAAATAATCGTAGTTTATGAAATAAGGTGGGGAGCAGCGCGACGCCCTCCGCCCTCGCCGATGCGCCGCCATTACGCATCGAGGGGAAGGTCGCGTGGCAGAGGACAAGGCACGATCTCCCAGACACTATTTAGGCGTTTACTCTATTTAAATCGGTTGTATTCCATCGATTGGTGTTGCCGTTGTGAGACGCACTGAACTCCACTCAAAATGGTAAAGGAGGTGAGTTTTTTCCTAGTTTTTGGGTGAAAGAATCGAGAAAGGAGAGAGACAGAACTCGGTTGATTTTTTTTTTCCTTTTCGTCCTCTCCTCCCAAGCTTTTTTTCCGCGATAGATGTCATGGCGGATCCAAAGGGAAGAAGCATCTACTCTCCTTATCGTTACTATGCTTCTCATCTTTGATCGCACAGAGTGGAAGGAATTGTAGTTGTTATAATACCTTTTTTTTTAAATTTAGCGACGGAAAGTTGGGCTTGGCTTCGACTTCCATTTTCTTTTTCCCGTTTATTCGTGACTCGTTCAAACCAAGCTCCTCGAGTCACGTGGTTTGTTAGCGATTATTAATGTGTTCCCGCAGTAGAATTGGTGTTAATAAAAGCACGAGAATAATTAGGGCTTTGTAGATAGGCCTACATTATAACCCTACGAGGTGTAGACGGGAATAAAACGTAGCATTTTGAGAAGCGGTTCGGCAAAGTAATTATTTTATTAATTTTTCTCTCGTTTTAAATTTCGGGATAATTTTCGTTAGTGTTTATGAGTTTGTGTGTTTACCTCGACGGGACTAAAAACTATCCTGTGTGGGGGAGCAAATGTATGTAAGTAATTTATTTTCTACAATATGGTAGTTCAGAATCCATACCGGGAAGCAAAAGTCTTCTAGTTGAAGAATAGAAACCTGAATATTGGATATTTTATTGCACTGGGAAGCAACAACAGCCAAACGGAAGGAAAGTAAGATTTAAGGATTTGTGAATGGTTATTGCAAGAGATGTGTGTTGGGGGGGGTGGGTTGCGTAATAACTTCGTATAGCATACATTATACGAAGTTATACGAACAATATGGTAGTTCAGAATCCATACCGGGAAGCAAAAGTCTTCTAGTTGAAGAATAGCGTAATAACTTCGTATAGCATACATTATACGAAGTTATACGAACAATATGGTAGTTCAGAATCCATACCCGTAATAACTTCGTATAGCATACATTATACGAAGTTATACGAACAATATGGTAGTTCAGAATCCATACCGGGAAGCAAAAGTCTTCTAGTTGAAGAATAGAAACCTGAATATTGGATATTTTATTGCACTGGGAAGCAACAACAGCCAAACGGAAAGAAAGTAAGATTTAAGGATTTGTGAATGGTCATTGCAAGAGATGTGTGTTGGGGGGGGTGGGTTGCGTAATAACTTCGTATAGCATACATTATACGAAGTTATACGAACAATATGGTAGTTCAGAATCCATACCCGTAATAACTTCGTATAGCATACATTATACGAAGTTATACGAACAATATGGTAGTTCAGAATCCATACCGGGAAGCAAAAGTCTTCTAGTTGAAGAATAGAAACCTGAATATTGGATATTTTATTGCACTGGGAAGCAACAACAGCCAAACGGAAGCCAAGTAAGATTTAAGGATTTGTGAATGGTCATTGCAAGAGATGTGTGTTGGGGGGGGTGGGTTGATGTGAGGCGGTGTTAATTTTGCTACGTGTAATTGGGTGGGATTATGCGGTTTCATGGGCTAGATGCAGTTTGGCATTAAGGGGGAAGGGAGCACTTGGTCATGTGGGTTGGGGGAAGGGAGGGGAGGGGGGGGAGGGGTGGGGTGTGTAATTCCTGTGCATTCCCTTTAGTCCATTAAATGTATTGCTTCTGACTACTGGGATATACTGTAAAGGATTCCTGAAGTGTCATTCTTTAGCAGTAGTTGTAGCATGTTTGTATATCTAGGAAAATGCCTTTTTCCTGCAGTTGTACAAGTAATTTTTATATCTTTGATAAAGACCTTGGTTTTCAAATACCCTATTTATGTATAATGGATCTAGTAAATCTTTACGGTGTGGATGGACAGTAGTAAATCTCTACGGTGTGGATGGACAAAGCCAGGGCAAATTGAAGTTAAAGGGATAAAGATTGAGGAAAGCATGACTCGCAGCCTAAGCAAGCTAGGCACTCGAGTTTCAACTCTCTTGCTGTGCATAGTAAGGTGAAGACAGTGTTTGTTATAAGATTTTAGGGGACAGAGCCCGCATCAACCCTCCCCCTCAGGCAAAGCCCAATCACGGCAACTTAGATTAAATTGATAATGTTTTTAGAGGACTAAAAGCTGCAGTTGTCATTACAAGAAAGTCAAACTAAGTCATGTCACAAAAGAAAAAATTCCTGAAAGTGCTGCTCACAGCCTAGGTGCACTTGATGAACCTTGATATTTGCATATAGTTTACCAAAGGGTGTTGGGGGATGGTGACGGAACAATTCATTAACCCTCATCACGGGCGGTTCAGGTATGCTGACTCAGTAATAGTCAGATGACCCATAGGTTTGTGAAGTCCAGCGTTTTTATTTTTTTATTTTATTTTTTTTATTTTTTTTTTTTAATTGAATTTGCCCAATGATGTATGAATGGAAAAATTCCTAACATTGACTATAAGATGCATGGTATTTTTATATTTTCATTTAAAGCATTATTACTATATATCAGAATAATTCATATTTAGTTTCACATCAATATTTATATTTAAATTTAACCTAGAATATGAATAAGGAAAAAAAAAAGCATTGACCAAAGATTCTTGTTTGACGAATGTAAAGAAATGTTTAGCTACCAACTTCCAAGTTGAAGCTGCAGATCCCATGAATATTCGAAATGTGGAATTCTGAAGCGATTTACGCCCTCCTAGAAAAGGATAGAACTCCGAAAACTTTAGAAGATTGTGGGATCCATAGCTAATTTCTGCGGTTATATTTTGATGCCGCGATTTCACTGGGCAAAGCTGATGCTTTTTGCAGTGTGAAGACATTTGATGGGTGGGTTGGTTCCATTGCACATCACTGGATTATAGTGAAATTCATGAGTCTGACCGTACCTTAACCTTGAATAATCATCAGAAATTTTATCCTAAGTTTAGAACGAGTGTCAGTATTGTAAAGAAATAACATTTTACTTGTGGGATGTGATAACTGGGTTGTCCTTGGCACTTTGGGCAAAACTAATTTATCTCCGTATATATTCTGATTGTATAGGTTGAATTAGATCCTTATTTAATGATATGATTCCATGGAAGTCTGCAAGGTGTGTTTGCCAACAGTGCAAAGGCTACAGTGATGGTCTATGTATATTTGATTTGAGTATGTTTTAGGCCATCTACTGTAATTCTTTGTATTTAAGTAGTTTTGCATGCAAGATATCCACTAGGATTTTGAAGTCTTTTATTAAATATTGGCATCGTCAAACATTTACCAAATGGCCATGAAAGTTGCGTCAACTTGTGTTTTTGTCAGCCCTAATTTTTAAAATATGAAATTGTAGCTTGTCATACAATACATGTATGGGAGATGAGTGCATTGTTACAATTTTATTTATTTATTTATTTATTGTTATTTATATATATATATTTTTTTTTTACAAAGGTTAAGAATAGTCAATACCCTGATGTTTGTGGGCATGTCTGTATGGGTTTCTAATGATTATCACATGAAACATATTGCTATTAATTAGGTTACTGGGTTTAACCATTGTAAGTTGGGGGTGGGGGTGGAACCTTGAACAATTTGCTAGCAGTAGTAGAATATCTAAGATTTAGAAGGATAATGTAAATCACTTCTTAATATTATCATCTGTGAATATTATGCTCTTATAACTATCATCAGTAATAAAAATATCTTATTGATGATTCTTTAATGTTAATAGTAATTGTTAATGCTTGTGGATATACATTTCATTCTTTTGAAGTTAGATTTGTTTGTATCAGGATTTTCCATTCATGTACTTATTTATGGAAATAATTAATAATATTGGTAGATGTATTTGCATAAAAAAAAATGGAATTCCCTTTATGTAAACAATCAATAGTGTGTAAAAGGTTGTTCCATTATTAAATTTGTTAGTTTTTGTAATTTTTTCAGGAACCTTTTAAATGTTTACTATCTTGGTAATAATAAAAGATAATTTGCCCATATCCCTTTGTAATTATGAGGGATGGTGGTTTCTTGTTCCTTGAGCATACATTCCAACGTAGATGTGTTTACAGATACCTCAAGACAATAGAAGGTGTACTATTTCCATTTTTCATATAAATAGTTCCTCTCTATTTGCATAGATTAACAAAGGTTGGATTTTTTACCAATATTTTCTTGCTTAATAGTACACTTTTATACTAAAATGCAAGTTGCTACAGACATTCATTTTGAATTTTGGTGAAAATTTAGCATGGACTACATTATTGATTGCAGGAGTGGAAGGAGCATTTCAGTGTTTTGAGGTTATTTTCATCAGTACTGGCCTGATGCCAGCATTATTTTAAGGTGGATGTAACCCCTTATTACCTCTGTTGCAGGAACACTCGGAGCCTGAACAGATGCGCAAGCTGTTCATTGGTGGATTAGACTATCGTACCACTGATGAGAGCTTGAAGGCATACTTCGAACAGTACGGCGAGATTGTTGATGTTGTTGTGATGAAAGACCCCAAGACAAAGCGCTCAAGAGGGTTTGGGTTTGTGGCCTTTTCTCAAGCATACATGGTCGATGAGGCACAGAAAAACAGACCTCACAAGGTAAGCTTTTTATTTATATATATATATATATATATTATATATATATATATATATATATATATATATATATATATTATATAGATAAATAAATAAATAAATAACAATAGATATGTAAAATAAATAAATATAAATTTTGGCTTGTTCTTGTTCTGATTTATATAAATGATTAGCAATGTACATTTATTTCATATTTTTCCTCTGCCATTTAGATTGATGGGAGGTCTGTCGAACAAAGCGTGCTGTCCTCGAGATGAAATTGGGAAGCCTGAGTCTGGGGTCACAGTCAAGAAGCTGTTCGTAGGTGGTATAAAGGACGATGTAGATGAGGAGGTAAGTTTTTATTTTGAAGATTTATATTTTTCTATGTATTGCTATATATATAAATATATATATATTTGTTAACCTTTTTCAATTTTGAGTATATTGTGGAAGGTTCATTTCAAACTTTATTACAGGATCTACGAGAAACCTTTGGCAAGTTTGGAACAGTAGTGTCTGTGAGCATCCCAACAGAGAAGGAATCACAGAAGAAGAGAGGCTTCGCTTTTGTAGAGTTTGAGGATTATGATGCTGTAGATAAGGCATGCTGTGAGTGCCGTAAGTCTAACGTTGACATGTCTTGGAGATATCCAATCGTGTTATAACCCATCTTGAGAGAGGTGGGTTAACAAGGTCCAAAGGGGGTGATTAGCCGGTGAAAATCCCTCCACTTGGATCAGCTTTAGGTTTTTATATTTACCATGTATATTTTATTTGACAGTGCACAAGAACATTCAGATGAAGGGGAAGCGTGTAGATGTCAAGAAGGCCCTAAGCAAGAATGAAATCCAGATGCAGCAGCGTGGCCGAATGGGTGGCATGGGGTTGGAATGGGTAGAGGTGGTGGCGGAAATGGACCTTGGGCTGGTGGTCGGAACGACAATTGGGGAAACAACCAGAGCGGTGGATGGGGAGGTGAGCATAAATTCTCCTTTTTTGGAATTTTGAGCACTTCCTTTGGAAATGGTTATTGCAGTACACTACTCATTATTTTGATTTAGATTGACCAATATTATTCTTGTTCAGTATTATTTTGTTTATTAATGGAGATTACTTTTGATTATAGATAATCGTGGAGGTTGGGGCAACAAGGCAACTATGGCACTCCTAACCAGAGTGGCCAGGTGGTACACAACCAGGGTGGCTATGGCAACCAAGGCCCATGGCAAGGTGGTCCCCCCAACAACCAGGGTTGGAACAACCAAACCAACCAGGGTTGGGGCCCACAAGCTGGTAACTATGGTGGCACACCAAACAACTGGGGTCAGGGACCTAGCGACTTCGGCAACAACTACGGACAGAGCTATGGTGGTGGACCCATGAGGAACCAGGGATATGGACAGACCAACAGGCCAGCACCGTACAGTGCCGGTAAGGATCATGAAGACCTAGGTAGGCTGTAAGGGTTACTAGTAAATTAATATTCATTTTAATAAATGTTAAGAAGAAAATCCTCCTCCTAAAACAAAACTAAGTTGAGTTGGCCTTGGAATTTCAGGTGGAGCTCCAGGCTACAACAACCCTGGTCCTAACAACTATGGAGGTGCTGCAAACATGAACCAGGGCCCCAACAGACGATACTAGACTTTTGCTGGTGCGTATTTCTCTTTTTGTTATTCCATAGTTTTGGCACAGATTTCCATTGCTAGACGTGGTATTTGTGGGCAAAGCATTGATCTTAAATCATGATATATGTTTAAATTTAAGAGATAAAGGTTGATTTTGAGAGTGTTAATAAAATTAGACATTTGACTACTAACCTTATACAGTTAAATGTTGACTAATTTATTATTTTCCACCACACACTAGGTACATAGCAGGTTAGCCATGCAGGCAGGCAGACAGGCAGGGCTTGAGTCAGGGCCCCAGAACAGTCAGGATATGCTAGGACTGAGGCAGGCAAGCTGAGCTAGGGTCATAGGGAGGCCGACAGGCTCCTCGACACCAAGATAAAGCGAGCCAGTGTCAAGAAACATTCCATTCGTCGCATGGACTAGCCACTTGCCTCCATTGTAGGAAAAATATGAACACTGGAAAATTTAAAAGATATTTTCTCTGTACTTGCATTTTATATATTTAGGATAATGTGTAGAAGTGTCAACTATCTCAATATGGAATTAACCAAAGCATAGTCAGTTCTTTGTAATGTGTGTGCAGCATTGTATTTTCATTTTACAAATAAATTAATCCTAAGAATGGTGTATTATGACATCCTCGGAGGCATATCTGGGAGAGAAAAGGCTACTAGGCAGTGAATTCTTAGGAACTGTCTAGGTCTAAACCTCAGGTAGGTTCTTGTGTTCGGTTTTGTGGTGTAGGCAGTAATGTATCATAGGGTTGGGTACACCGTTCATTTTTGAGTGGTTAGCACATTGTGTAGTGGTGCTAGGTCACGCTTTAGTGTGAGTGCACTTCTCAGCTTTTGTACCTCAATGCTACTGTCTTGTGTTCAAAGTACCAAGTTCAAAGACGACAAACTTAAGTGGTTTAAGTTCTCGGCTGTGGCATGCTTACCTCGTTGACTAATTCGGTGATTTTCCCCAGGTATTGATGACGCCACACCCTCCCGTACCAAAGATGAAGGTCAGCAGTGGCCCTAGTCAGACCTGCCACGCCAACCTGTGATACATATTTTTTTACTTTTTTAAATTATATATGAAAAGATAACTTTTTTTTCTTTGAATCCTTCATAGAATTTCAACAGATCTGTTCTCATTTTCTGGGGACTGCCATAACTGAGCTTGTTGACCACATCAAAAACTTATCCAGGCAAATTTGAAAATTGTCATTAGTAAAATTCTGCAAATTAGTTACTTTTTTGAGTATGACCTGTCATGCTGAAGAGGGCAGAAAGCATGGGCAATAAGATTTAGAATTTGATCCCATAAGTACTACATAAGAACTGCAAGATAATCTTTGTCATCCTCAAATGAATATCAGAAATTGCATGCATCATGCAAAATCCTACTAATTCACAAATAAAATTTAAGTTTGCATGTTCATTTGATAAAAGCTTTTGTTAATGAATTGCATATGCATGAACTCAAGGATGAAAGTTTGTGTATAAATGCTAATGTTATCATACAAGTAAACCTTGCAATAGTGCCTTGTTTGTTGTGGACCAAAGTTTAAAGATTTTTGGAGAATGCTATTTTTCAACTTGATTCAAAGGGTCCATTCTAGTTACTTTGGATATAGGGAGTTTTAGAAATGCAAAAATAATTTCCTGCCCCTGGGAAAATGTTGCCTTCAATTTAGTAATTTTCTCAAATATATGTGCACATAGATGGCTCAGCCATTGCTTAGCTACTTTGGAGTCAATTAGTAGATCTTATAACATCCCCTTCCCTTGATTTAGTGGGAGGGGAAAGTTTTTTTTACTAATGCTATTAATATTGTTATTTTTATTACATATATTATAATTGCTATTTTGTTGATGTTACTAACATCATTATTAAATGCTAATATCGAAAATCAAAGAATATGGTGAACTTGAGTGGTTGTTCCTGTAATTGGATCATTGGTAACCTTTTATTTGTGGAGACATCTTTATGTAAAACAATTACTAAATTAAACAGTGGGCATAAATACACACGTGCCATCCCCAGTGACGTGGTTATAGTTTGGATAGTATTAGAGACCGTGAGAAACTGCCAATAGTTTAAGAAATCTTTTTAGATTAGAGTAAATAAAACTTCAACCAGGTGATTCAGAATGCCATATCCAGGGACCAATTTTAGTGTAGATTATTAGATCCTGTAATAAAATGCAAAACTGAACTAGTATGCATGTAATGTTTGAAGAGAAGATTAAATGGAGAAAGTTTTTTTAAGTGGATTCATTTGTGATGTGTATAAAGAAAATTGAAAAATCAATTTCTTGTTTAATTATGTTGCTAAAAACTGCATGATTAAACGTACATTGTCCAAACAAGATTATAAAATGCATATTGCCAAAACATACTATGTACTAGTGTGTATAATTAATAGAATGTTATGAGGTCGTTGAATATATTTTTCTATAAAGCCTTCTCCTCCCCCTCCCTTTCCTAATCTCTCTCCCTCTTCTAATCCATTTCTGTCTCCGTCTCCCTCTACTAATCTGTCCCCCTCTCCTCCTGTCTCTTTCCCAGCCCTAATCTCCCTCTCCCTCTCCTAATGTCTCCCTCCCTCTTCCTCTTGTAATGTCTCACCCCCTCTCCCTCTTCTAATGTATGTCTCTCTCTCTCTCTCTCTCCCTCTCTCTCTCTCTCTCTCTCTCTCTCTCTCTCTCTCTCTCTCTCTCTCTCTCTTCTCTCTCTCCTCTCTCTCTCTCTCCCCCCCTAAACTCTCTCTCTCTCTCTCCCCTAAACTCTCTCTCTCTCTCTCCCCTAAACTCTCTCTCTCTCCCCTAAACTCACTCTCTCTCTCTCCCCCCCTAAACTCACTCTCTCTCTCTCTCTCCCTAAACTCTCTCTCTCTCTCTCTATCTCTCTCTCTCTCCTCCCCTAAACTCACTCTCTCTCTCTCTCTCCCTCTCCCTCTCCCCTAAACTCTCTCTCTCTCTCTGCTCCCTAACTCTCTCTCTCTCTCTCTCTCCCAAACTCTCTCTCTCTCTCTCTCCTCTCCTCCCCCTAAACTTCTCCTCT